AGGGAGGGAAGATGGATGGCTGGAGGGATGCAGGGAGGGAGGGAGAGAAGGAGGGAGAGAGGGATGGAGGGAGGGAAGATGGATGGCTGGAGGGATGCTGGGAAGGACGGAGAGAAGGAGGGAGGGAAGATGGATGGCTGGAGGGATGCAGGGAGGGAGGGAGAGAAGGAGGGCAGGAGGAAGCAAAGGAGGAAAGAGGAAGGGAGGGAAGCTACCATATATACATCACTATCTGGCTCAAGGACTGCAAATATTTACATACAGGTCTACTGCCCCTATAAAGCTTAGGGGTGCCTGAGAACAGCAGCTCTGAGTATCTTACGTATTTTTTATCATTAAGATTTTGCCCTGTATCTGGCATAGTAACTCACTTCAGATGTGTATAGACTTGAATAATATGTAAAGAAATAACATACAATACAGTACATCAATAAATTATTACCCATTCCTTCAAGGCTTTAAAGAATATGTTTATAATCTGAGGAGTCATAAAGGTCCTTCCCACAAATTTTCATGTATCCCCTCAAGTGATCCCTGAAGGAGAAACTACAATGTACCAGGAAATACATCGTGTTAAAGATACAGAACGTCATATCCCTGCCACAACTGAAGTCATAGCAAGAAGACAGCTATTAAACTAATCACAAATGTTTAAGGGTGAAACCTAATACTTGTCAAATTAAAGGCTAACTGGAAAGTACTTTTACATTCTGTCCACATATATGAACTGACCTTTCTTTTCAGAACTCTTCCTTTTTTCTTCAAACCATTCTCCTCTAAATCCTTCTCCATCTTGTGTAACAAACAGAATCTCATTTCTACTTAAAGCAATATCAGAAATGAAAACCTGCCGAGGATAGGCCCAACGACACTGCTTCAGAGAACTGTTCAGTGACCGCCAGCAAAATACCTAAAGCCAAATCACACCAAGATATAAAGGAATAGAGCACCTGAATGATCGAAATCTGACATCAGAAGAATCAAAGTAAAAGCTCTCACTACTGTTTTAATGGTCATTATTCCACAAAGAAAATACAGAAACTACAAAAATAAACATGAATTTAAAGAACTGTATCTTTCAGCAAAGTATATACTAAGCAAACATGCAAAATCAAAAATTATTTTAAACATGCCTGTTAAGTAATTCTGACTATAGATTTGTTTGGGGAAAATAAATCAAACAAGGCTAGAGAAATAAAACCTTAAAGCTAACTGCCAGATGTCAGTGTTAGTGTGGTCACCTGTCTAGAACAAAAAAGTATCACTGTCAGGTGTGGTGGGGCAGGCCTGTGATCTCGGCACTCAGGAGACAGGCAGGAGATGCGGTGCGAGGCCAGCCTGGGCCAGCAGTGCACGGGTGCCAGTGAACTACATGGAGACCTGTCTCCAGAGAGAAACCAAGTATCACCTTATGAAAAGCCTAGCTCCCACTCAAGAGAAGAAGCAGATTATGGAAAACTCAATCATGACACTATACAGTCTTAAGAGATTTAAAAAAGTTATCGGAGTTCACTGCTCCCCAGTGCTTCTGCAACGTCAGCAGCCCTGGGAAGTACAGCGGGGACCACGCAAGAGAAATGCACCAGGGAATGCTGTGCGGTGGGGCACTGCGCAGACCCCCTTCCCCCAGAGCAGCAGCTCCTTCATCTGCTCATATATCAGCATTCCAAACATGACAGCTTTGGAAAAATTAAGACTTTAAGAAGTCTAATTCCATCACTATCAAAAAAAAAAAAAAAAAAAACACTGAAACACAAGATACTATCTGCCAAAGTGACTTAACAGCTATTTCTGGCCAGGCATGTGGCCATGTCAGCAGCACTCAGGGAGGTCGAGGCAGGACTATAGCAACTTGAGTCAATCCAGGAGACTCTGGCTTAGAAAGAAAGACGGCAATGGTGCTGAGAACTTAGACACAAAAAAGATCTAGTTTCCTGCACTAAAACAATCCAGCACAGAAATCTGTGCTTACAAAGAACCAATAGTTTATGATTAACTTATTAACTATTCACTTTCTGAAATTTCAGATTTCATAGTAAATCTTTAAACCTCACAAAATATTATTTTGTTTTTATTTCTCTAAGCAAAAAAACAGAAAGCTATCTATATGCTCTAGCCGTAGCATACAATTTTTTATTTTTCTATTTTCTTTCTTTATTTTTATTTTTTGGTATTGTCACTGAGTTATATCCCTGACCCCAATTTTTTCAATGTTAGTGATATATAACATATATAAAGTATCCCTGTAAATTAAAAACTGTATGTACATATTTATTTTGAAACTTAAATATATTTATATTTAAAATACATAGTATATAACTGCCAACATATTTCAAGTATATATTTCAACCCTTTCTTTTTTGTACTGGGGATCGAATTCAGGACCTTGTGCTTACGCTGCTATGCTCTATCCCTGGCCCTTCAATACATTTTGTAAATTAACAACTTTACTAGGAGAAATGCACTGATCTATTTACAGGGATATATACAGAGAAATAAAACTCAAAACCGTAGAAAAGGTAAAATCTTTTATATACTAATGATCTAAAAATATACTACATCTCACATATATAATACATATTGATAACATCTCTGTGTGTATGTGCTATTATATTTCTATAAAATAACCTGGGGAATAATTTCCACTTGTGCACCAAATCTGTAATACTGCCTGCTTACTGTTTACTACTCTAAGAGTAGTGACATCATCTATCTCTTATCTATACAGCCTAATACCACTATCAATACTCAATTCATTCCAAAAATTCCAATTCTTTCTCATTTTAAAACTATACAGAAAATTTTAAATTACAATTTAACACAGTAATACTGTACAACAGATTAAATGTTGTATTTTCTCTGAAACACTAGTTCCGTACTAATTAGTACTGGATGTCAAAAACAGGGAAACGAAATCCTTAGAAACTGTTACTAATATGGCAATACATTTTCACATTATCAAATTTCTACAGTTGTCCACTGAGAATAAGATTGTTATACTTTTACATAAAAAATATACATATATATGTAAACTACCCTTCCAGCTCCATCCATCGCAAGAATGCAGAGCTTTTGACCCCCATTTTCTTCCAAGTGTTCAGGATCCACTTTGTATTCCATCCGACCCCCAGATACAAGAACCTTTTTCAAATTCAGCTGTCTGAGTGAGGGAAAAAAAAACCCTACGTTAAATTATATTCTCTAAAATACAGACTTAATTTTAAAGAAATGACTATTCAAACAATAACCAATAGCCAAGTATCATAAAAAATGAAAAAAAATGACTTGATCTCTGGGGCGGCACCCCCAGCCTCTTCTTGCTGTGTACTCACAAAGCAGCTGCTTCTTGCTGGGGCATTTCCTTCCCTCTCAAAGCCTCCACTACTGCAGACACACATGTTAAACACCTACACCTCACTTGCAGATGCACAACGCATTCACTAGACGCTAAATAACTGGTACTAATATAACTTCCTGATACATTCCGAACATATTCTTCCTTGTATATTTTTATTTTAACAGAAAAAAATTAAACTACAAAATGAAATATATATGCTTAATTTCACATATAACCAATTCTAAATAAACACAGCTGCCTTGAACAACATTAATATTGGTAATTAACGGCTCCCGGATTAGCCACACACTTCCTTTTGCTTTTATACCTATGTTTGGAACCAGTAGTGTGCTACTCCAGTAAGTGTACCACCTTTAAGATAGCTTACTTGTATTTAAAAAATTATTTTAAAAACTATGCAATAACTTAATCCATAGCAAAATAATTTTCATCTACAATGATGTCAAAACTAACTCTAATTGCTACACAAAGATGATAAACTGTAACAAAGTTAACTTTACTATTTTCTGCTCATTAAATTCACGAGTGGTACCTATTCATTAAGTTAACCTGTTCTACCTATGCAAAAACTTATTTTGTTACATTTAAATTTAAAGTCCTAATAATCTTAAATTAGAGGGCTATGTTAAGAAATTTTGCCCACAACTGATCTAGTGGTTGAACTGTACTAGTCCACAATCAGCTATTTCTGCAAACTTGCCTCTTTATTTGTACTTATTACTAAATTACATAAACAATGAAATATCACCTAAACTAATAAAAAAGCCTCAAAAGAACAATATTTTTCTATAAAAGTCGAACACTTGGAAATAACGTAATAAATATAAGCAACAAAACATTAGTGTCAGATCAGATACAGATAAATCAACTACAAAAGATTGAAATGTCACAATTTTTTGTAAGCATTTGTCCTCACATTCTTCATTTCATTCAAAATGAAATCACATCATTAAGATAGTTTATAAATGTAAGACAGGGAACCTCAACTGGTAGCTCCATCGTGTTTATAATTAACTTTCTGACTCTGTTCTGATTTCTTTATTACCCAACCAACTTCTGGTTTACTGCATGACATCGTAACATGCCTTCCCGTAACCAACCACAGGCTACACAGATCCAAAGATAAAAACACAATACCAGCTGGACACAAACACAGCCTGGATATAAGGTTGAGCATAACAATTATTTTTAAAAATGTGACTGTATCATGGACAAAAGGCCACAGATGAAGCCAGGATGATAACAGCACACAAATCAATTATGATCAACGCACTTCTATGTACCAGATACGCTCAAAGGGAAAAGAATAGATCTTAAACATAATTCAAAAACACTATTTTACAGTTTATGAGAAAATTTTACATATATTCACTAGATCCTTGACAAAAGACCAAAATCATCAAAGGCAAAAATTCCTGAATTCCCCCCACTCAATTTTTTCCAATTAACATTGACAGAGCACAGCTTAAAGCTGCTAATCAGATATTTGCTGGAAAAATTGTACCATTAAAATTGTTTATTTTACAGAAATCCACATACTTCGATGCCATCTTCTTGCACTGATAGTCTGCAAGTAAGTAAATATCTCCCCTTGTGGTAACACAGACTGTTGCCCCATCACTTGCAGCAACCAAAGACAGATTAATGTCCTTATGATGAAGGGCAGAGACTTGACGAGGAGCAGTTACACATTTTTCTCCATTGGGATCTAGTAAATAACCTAAAAAATTATACAAACAAATCATAAAATATGTTTCCAAAGCCCAACTTAGTTATCAGGTACTGTCAGGAAAACGTCTTACCCAGCTGGCCACCATTTAGTCCCAGTGTGTAGACAGCTTCTCTAGTCCACAGCACTGTGTGAAACCTGCCCGCCGCCACTCCAATAACTGTCCTTCCTTTCAGATATTTTGCCTGCATCTAGTCAAACAGACAAGAAAAATGCTTAACTTCTCCTGTGAGCTACATACCACTAAGGATGAGGCTAAGTAAGTGAAAAAGAGTTGCTTTCACTAAACAGCTTACTGTTCAATGACTTTACCTGTCTGGGGACGTTACAACTGGAAGGTGGAGGAGTAATTCCTAACTGATGAAAAGTATTTAGCCCAAACGTATAAACACACCCCTCTTCGGTTAACACGACAGTGTGATCCTTAGCAGCTGCCACCTGGGAACAGCTGTGACCACTCAGGCCTTCCACAAGTCTGGGAACCTAGAATAGAAGATTAATTTTATTGTATTAATTCTTTAAAATGCAACGGACTGCATCCAAATGATATGTGACATATGGCTATACCTATCAGAAGTAAACTATATTTCAGCAAAGGGCAATTTAAAATTACATGGTCAATGGTTTATGAGCAAAATAGACACACCCAATAAATAGCAATAAAATACTTCCATAAATGACCTTTAATGACCTTACTATATACCTAGTGGAAATTTATGAAGTATAAAATGGACCTCTTCAAAGTATTCAGCGGCATGTTAAAAAAAGGAACCCATGCTTTCTTTTGGTAACACAACATACAATTTAGTATTTCTTTTGGAGTCTTCTACCCTGGGTTCAAATCTTCAGCCACTTACTATTGGACCCCAGTCAAATTTTTAACTTCTCACTACCTCACTTCCCCCATCAGAAAATTAGGCAACCAATAAATGATACTTTACTAGCATTGGTAGCACACATAAGATAAAGACAACGAAGCCTAAGGCTCAAGGGGCTGTTACGATACTTCAGATGATGCAGGAAAGCACAATGCCTGAAATCAAAAATAATTCAAAAAAAAAGGGAGGCATTATATTTGTATCTCTTTTTTAAAGCAAGCTTTCATATATGATAAATATACTAGCAGTCTTCTAAAAAAATTATACAATAAACTTATGAGCTAATTTTCTGATGTAGAGAAAAAAGGACTTCCTCCTATTACAAGTTTAGGAAGCATAAAAACAATTTTGTGATTACATAGTAAAAATACTGGCTCAATTTTTAGACATTTTTAATGAGAAATTTAAAATTCAAACTTGGACAACTACAATAAAAGCATTTTACAATTAGTTTGCCCTTTAAAATTTTAGTTCTGGAAGTACCTGTAATGATTATTTATATACTCTCTTGACTCAAATTCACTATAAGCAAAGTATTTACCTTTGATATTCTTACTTTGTATGTAAATTCCTTAATTTGAACATTATATATCAGGAAATTCTTTTTTTTTTTTAACTCTCTTTTCAATTAGATACTCATTCTCCCAGTTGGGAGAAAAAAAATCAGTTATCTGAAACTTCCAGTTTATCAAAGTTTTAGTGACGCTACCTAAACTGTACATCAAACATTTAAATTACCAAGCACGTCTGTTCATCTCCATGGCCTAACCGTCCTCCAGGTCCATGACCACAGGTGTAAACCTGGCCCTTCTGAGACAGAAACACTGAATGAAATTTACAAAGCACCACCTAAGGGAAAAAGCAAAGTATTATCAGACTTGTCTAAATAAAATACCATTTCTTTAGGAAAAAAAAAAAAAAAAAAAAAAAAAAAA